TCAGCAGGGAATCGCTCAGCAGGGGTGCCGCAGGCAGTGTTCGGCAGCAGGAGCGGGACTCAGCCGGCCCGGGACCGGGCAGTTTGCGGCAGCTGGAGCTCAGTGGTAGAGCACTTGCCTATCATGTATGAAGTCCTGGTTTCAATCCCCAGCACCACATAAAATAAATAAAATAAAATAAAGGTACTGTGTTCATCTACAACAAAAAAATATTAAAAGAAAAAATAAGTCTAATAGGGTCCAAAAAGGACTTGGATAAAATAAATGTACTATGTCATTTTTTCTCACTAGATGTGGGAAAACGATAGAGGACGTTGAAGTGAGGGGTACAATAGTAGTATATACAATCATTTTAAGAATCAAAAAGTTACATTTCATAGGTAATTCCACATGAAAAGCAGTTAGTTCATAAAGTTCAACATATTGGGGACATTCTGTGTCTATAAATTTATTTACTAAACCTCCTTCAATTTGGAAATAATGGACACACTAATATCCTTTACATATGAAGAAATGCTATCCATACATAGAGGAAGTCAGGCTCTTTTTCTAGTTCAAGAAAACAAGAAAGTTCTCTTCCTGGATAACCAAGGAAAATCCATTTTAAGTGATAAATTTTGATTAAATCTGAGTTAAGGGCATTATTACCATCTGGAACATATTTACATAGTAAAAACTAAAGTTTTAACACATTATCTGTAGAAGATATTTCAGACTCTCCTTTTTTTGAGCATCATCTAGATTTTATTTTAAATGCACTGTAAATTAGATTTTAAATAGTAGAGCAAATGATATGACGTACATTTTAAAGAACTCAATCTGGCTGTTGGGATGGAAAGGAATGGAGGATGCCAAGAGTCAAAGAGGTATACCAACTAGGAGGCTTTTGCAATAGTTCAGGCAAGAGATAACAGTAAAGTGGACTACAAAGATGACAGTAGAGAGACAAGTAGAGGGAATAAGAAATAGGGCCTGGTGATGTTTGACAGGATTATCAGAAACAAAGAAGGACCCAATAAATATTTGGCTTGGGTATCTGGATAAGTGAGTTCTTTTTTTTTTTTTTTTTTTTTTTTTTCTTTTTGGAAGTAACCTGGGTTGGAGGAAGATCAAGATTTCAAGATTTTTATTCTGGACACCCAAGAAGATATGTAAAATAGGTAAACAGTTAAATGTGTATATCTGGAGTGGTCAAATCCACAGATATAAAGTTGAGAGTCAGTGGCACTAGAATGAGTGTCAAGTAGGGATTCTGGTTTTTTGTTTTGTTGTCTTTTTAAATACTGTGCTTAGACCAGTGCTTGGCACATAGTAGGTGTTCAATAAATTTTATTGAAGTGAACAAATAAATGGGCATAAAGATGGCATATATTAAGGTCTATGAGATGGTACAAGAATACCCAGAGAGGAATTGTATAAAAGTATACATGTGGAAAGAGATAGGTTCAACAAAGCAAATTGGAAAATAATGATAGTTAAACATGAGAAAAATCGGAAGGCTGTTCTATCAAATTTGCCCATATAAAAGAATAGGTGTAGTGGTGCATACCTGCAATCCCAGCAACAACAGAGGCTGAGGCAGGAGGATTACAAGTTTGAGGCTACCCTCAGCAACTCAGAAGGCCCTGTCTCAAAATAAAAAATAAAAGGGGCTAGGGATGTGGCTCAGTGGTTAAGTACCCCTGGGTTCAATCCCCAGTATCAAACAAAACAAAACAAAAAACCAATGAAAAAAGCCCCAATATTTCAAGGAGAAAGTGGTTACTTGTATCAAATACTGTTGAGGTACGAAAGATGAGAACAAAGAAATGATAACATCACTGACAGTTACATAACAAGGGCTAATGCACACAATCCTCTCTCATAGGAAGGAAGGTATTATGGGTACAGATGCAGGTAGAATGATAGATTTTGTGGTGGAAACACAAGGAAGTTCCCTGACAGTTTTTATTTTTACAAGAAATTACAAAACAAGTGTCTGCTGAGGGTAAACATTCAATAAATGCTTCAATGGTAATACAGAAGGTGCTATGGAAGCATAAGGGATGGACCCTTTTCTGTGTAGAGGTGGATATGGAGGAGGCTTATAGGAAGAAACAGGAATTAATGTGGAGAGAATAGGTTAAAAAAGGAGAAGGGAAAGCATCCCATATATGGGTAACATTTTAGAGGCAAAGAAGAAAGGGCATATTTAGGAAATTAAAAGGCAGACACCTAAGAGGTCCAGGTAGGGACTGATGAAAGTTGAGGTTAGAGAGATAAGCAGATGCCAAAATTAAGACTCGGAGGAGACCAAAATTGGTCATGACACAATCGGAAGTAGTCACTGAGAAATGCAATACATATTTTATTTTGGTGAGCTTCCCATCAATTTGGAGAAGATATTTCTAAATTTAAATATGTAAGTATATTTAACATAAGATTAGCCCATTTTTATATTTAACATTTAGAGAGGCCATACAGCTTAGTATACAGTTTCTAGAGCCAGAATGCTTAAGTTCTCAACTATGCTACTTAGCAGCTGTGTGACCTTGGACATTTATTTCACCTGTGTTTAAGTTTCCTTTTCTTTAAGTGAAGGGTTTAATGGGAAGAAGTAAATAACAGTACCATCTTAGAGGGCTGCTATAAAGACTATATTAGCTGATATGGTATTCTAAATATGTTAGCTATTACTATTTAAGATACAATTTTACCTGCTTTTTAAGGGCATAATTTTCACCATCTTCAGCTTTCATTTTTTCAATCTTTTCTTCTTGTTGTTTTGCTTCTTTTTCATACATCACTTTTTCTTTGACCAATCTACAAATAAGCCAAAAATATTTCAGAGAATTAGCTTCTTCTCTAGAGAATAAACCACACTTAACAAAGAAACAACGTAAATATAAAACGTACTTAAAATACTAAAGTTGATGGATTAGATGGGGTGGGAAAAAGGAAAAAATACTTTAGCTATAATGTAAGTATGATCTTTGTGCTCTTAAGCCCTCTGTCTAATTAATGCAAGTGCAATCTATCAACGCATGAAATTCTTATTTTTAAAACTAAAAATGTGTTCCACTCTATTCTACTTACAATGTGAAAACAATACTCAAAATTATTGTGTACTAAAATTTCTGTTTTGATTTGTGTGTGTATACACACACATGTGCTTGCTCTGCTGGAGACAGAACTCAGGGGCTTTCACATGCTAGGCAAATGTTCTACCAGTGAACTACATCCCTAGTGAATTTGGTTTGATTTTTGAGGTTAAAAATTATATATTTTAGGGGCTGGGGCTGGGGCTGGGGCTCAGCAGTAGTGCATTTGCCTGGCATGTGTGAGGCACTGGGTTTGATTCTCAGCACTGCATATAAATAAAGTAAAAATAAAGGTCTATCAACAACTAAAAAACAACAACAAAAAACATGTATTTTCTCTGGTTTTTATACCAGCTACAAAAGAATTAACTCAAAATGGATTGAAAATCTAAAGTTAAAAGCTAAAATTATAAAACTCTAGGATGAAAACATAGAGGTAAATCTTGGTGACCCTAGAGTGGGCAACAAGTTTTCAATATGACAGCAAAAGCACAAGCAACAAAAGAAAAAAAAAGATAAATTAGCCTTCATCTTTGATTAAAAATTTGTGTGCTTCAAAAGGAACTACAGAATGGAAACAAATATTTGCAAATCGTACACCTGATAAGGAATTGCATCTAAAATATACAGTTCTCTAAAGAAGATACACAAACGAGCAATAAGCACGAGTCATTAGTCATGAGTAAAATGCAAATCAAAACCACAGTGAAGTAACACTTCATACCCATTAGGATCAAAAAGTCAGGTAATAAATAACATATGTTGGCAAGGATGCAGATAAACTGAACTATGCAACACTGCCAGCAGCAATGAAAACTAGTGTTGTTGGGGCTGGGGATGTGGCTCAAGCGGTAGCGCGCTCGCCTGGCATGCGTGAGGCCAGGGTTCGATCCTCAGCACAACATACAAACAAAGATGTTGTGTCCGCCAAGAACTAAAAAATAAATATTAAAAATTCTCTCTCTCTATCTCTCTCTCTCCTCTCTCTCAAAAAAAAAAAAAGAAAACTAGTGTTGTTGCTTTGAAAAAGTTTGGTGAAGCCTCAAAAAATTAAAGTTATCTAATATCCCAGTAATTCTATTCCTAGATATGTACCATAAAGAAATAAAAACACTTGTCTACATATGTCTACAAAGATTTGCAATAGCATTATGTATAATGGCAAAACATGGAAACAACCCCAAAGTCCATTTCAATGAATGGGTAAAGAAAATGTGATATGTCCATTCAATATTTGGCAATAAATAGGAATAAAATACTAATTTACACTAGAATACAGATGAAGCTGGTAAACATTAGACTACTGTGAAAGAAGATAGTCATGAAAGGCTACTTATTGTATAATACTATTTTATAGAATAAATCCAGAATAGGCAAATATAGAGACAGAAAGTAGATGAATGTTTGCCTGTAATTAGGGAAGATACAGTAACTGGAAAGGGTATGGGTTTTCTTTTTGGAGTGATGAAAATGTTCTAAAACTGATGTGACTGTTGTATAATATAAATATACTAAAAAATAAAGAAATATAGACTTTAAATGGGTAAGCTGTAGGACGTGAATTATATCTCAATACAACCATGATCAAAAAGGAAACCAAAAGTAAAGTTTGTGATCACAAAGTCAGTGCAGGAGAAAGTTCCAAGTACTGATACCTCAAGCACAACAGCTAAACAGATAAATACTATGTATTGCCATTGTATTTGTAATTTTAAATTACTTTCACAATAATTTAATATTAAGATAAAAATATATACCCTCTGAGATTCAAAGTAAAATAATTGATTCATATCACTACATATACTTGTCTAAAAGTTCCTTTTAAATAATAAGAAACAGTACAGAGAAGGCAAATTGCCAGTCTGCTTAAGTGAAATCTAAAGATGGTTCTGACTCACAATATTAAAAACAAAGAAAAGACAGAAAGAGAGAGAAAACAGCAGGGGAAAGGGGGGACACAACCTAGCTTTTCTTGAGTGTTTCATTAGGGAACATGGGTCCTGCATTCTCATTGCAGGCTGGAGCTAAATTGAGGCTATGCCTCTTTTAATTGCCCCAATTCACATAACTTCCCATTTTCCAAATACTCTGGCCTTAACATTTGGCCTCTAAAAAGCATTTGAGTTCTTGATCTTGCATATCATCAATGCAACAATGTTATTTTTGTCTTTATTATCATTATATAATTATGATTCTTATTCAGAGTATCAGGTATACTCAGAATCCACTGGATTAGCAATGAGACTTTCAATACCTGTAAACCTTTTTGGCTATAAAACATCCCTAGTAAGAAAATTGCTGGAACTGGACAGCTATACGAGAGCAGCACAATCCACAACATTCTATCATAACTCAAAAACTTTTTCACAGGTTGGCAAACGTGGTCAGGGAACCAAATCTGGTTTGCTATCTGTCTTTGTATAACCTAAGAAGTATGAATGTTTTTTGCATTTTTAAAGGATTAAAAATTTTGTGAAATGTGAAAATTATTTGGAATTCAAATTTCAGTGTCCATAAAGTTTTAGTGGAACACAGCCATACTCATTCATTTATGTATTGTCTATGACTAGTCATGCAATGACAGCAAAGATGAGTAGCCAAATGGCATGGTATGCGAAACCTAATATTATTTACTGTCTCTGGTCTTGTACACAAAAGGGTTGCTGATTGCTGACTTGAAAGATTGCCACTTAACTCTACTCAACCTCTAATTAACTTTAACTTTTATTACACCACACTGTAGTCAGTTTACTTGCTGGGTCTTGAAGACAGGATGAGGTAATATTCATATTGTATGCCTCATCTTCACATATAACATTCACTATAAACTCAGTGAATAAAAAATTAGGTCTAAAATTTCACTATTGCCTTTTAACATTATCAAAGAAATACATGAAACAAGTGTGACAAAAGTGATTCACAATAATTGAGAAATAAGAATAATGTGGTGACTTTTGAGGAAATATATAATGGAAGAGGAGGATTCTATGTGTGGGACCACAGACTATTAATCCCAACCATCCTACCCCATTGTGCTTGTCTATGGAAAACAGCAGCAACGACTCCAGCAAAATTGAAAAGATACCTAAATATACACCACATCTGAAAGGTAAAGGTGTTGAATATTTTCATGGCCTTTGGGATATCAAAACAAATAAAACTGTTTTTAAAAGTTACATTTGGGGGCTTTGGTTATGGTTATGGCTCAGTGGTAGAGCGCTTGCCTGGCATGTGTGAAGCACTGGGTTCGATCCTCAGCACCACATAAAAATAAATAAATAAATAAAAGTCAGTGACTAAAAAATATTTTTTAAAAAAGTCACATTTTGTAAAAAGACCTGGGAAGAAAAAAAATATTGAAAAGCAAAATCACTACTCTAAAAAAGAAAATAAATCACCTAGTTAGTGAGAATCCAATAATGCCAGCATACAAAATTAAAGTGAATAAAATGCTTGGGCAAGATGTAGAATGAGAAACAGAAAAGGGAAACCAATGTATTGATGACAAGTCACATGATATTTAAGAGGTTTATAGTATATATACAACTTGAACTTCACTAGATATTACCAATTTGATTTCCAAAGTGATTTTATCAATTGATATCATCGAAATTGTAAGGTAGGAATTTTCCTACTTGTTTGGCATCCTGGTGAACTATTGGAATTGTCAGAATTATTAAATTTCTGACAATTAGAAAAGTGTGAATTGGCATTATATCAAGGTTTGAAATACTAATTTCCCTGGTAAGGTAGAACATCTTTATCTATATTCTTATTAAAATAGTAGTTATATAGATAAGTATTTATTGAATCAATGAATAAATATCTTTTGGTGAACTTTTTTTCCCCTTTCTAAGGAAGGCTAAGATTTAATTAAAAAACTTAAGTATATACAGCTACAATTTTTAAATTTGTTAACTAAAATATTTTTCTGTAACTTTTTTTATGTTCCTATAAATACAGAAATATATGAAAGATTATAAAAAACAAAAATTTAAGTCATTCATATTCCCATTGCCCAAATTCCTACTGACCCAAAATGCACATAATTCTAAAATCCAATATACTATAAAAACAAGGTTTTTATTAAGCTTGACACAATCTTTTTAGCAGCAGTTTCACCTCAATTGACATAAAAATTATAGATTTTATGTATACTTAATGTGAATAGTCACATATTTCACTGCAGAACATTATATAATAGAGTGTTCTTCTAGATGCTATTAGGTAAATGCACAATACCTTTATAAAATCTAAAAAGAAACTGCAATTCAGAAACACATACGGGTCAAAGGATTTTTGTATATTGGATTATAAACCTGTATTAACATATTAGTATTTTCCATCAGATTTTTTATCTCAATATGTATGCGTGGAATTTTAACACACATAAAAATAATGGGGATAAGATATCATTTTTAATGTCATTAAATATGCTTTGAAAATATAGCTGTTAGTGGCTGCAAAGGATTTCATGGCACAGATACGAAAGCTTATTTAAGTATTATCCTATTTGATATTTAGGCAATTCCCATGTTATATGCAATACTGTGATGAACATCCCTACCCATGAATTTCATCAACATACAATATTTTCTTATTGAAAATGTTTACAGTATGTAGTACACAACCTGAAATTAGACTAACCCCCTTCCCAACAAACCAATGATCATTTACTAACATTTTTTTTCCTACTAATGTGATAGGCCACTTTGGTCATTC